GGGTTGTTGACGCGGGTGGGAGAGGTGGAGGTGGCCGACTTGATCTTGGCAGTCCGAGAATAAAGAAAGCAGTAAGTTAAAGAAAATTGCTAAAGAAAAATAGAAAATAGAAATCGGTTTGATTTGAGAAGAGTGACGCAAACTAGAGCCTTTGCATGACCTGGAAACTCCACGCTATGTGACTTTTCGCCTGATATCATTGCTTTATCCTTTACTTTCGACGACAAATTTAGCAACGATTAGAAAATTGATGAGAAAGTAAGAATACTCCATATTTCAAAGATTTAATTGATTTCGGAATAGAATATAAAACTCTGACAAAAAGTCACTTCCAAAACATGCGATGGCTTACTTGCAGGCGGTAGTTCACGGTATGCACGAGACTCTGCGCGGCGAATTTATTTTGTTGCCATGTTGGAAGATCTGGGACGAGTAACAAAGGGAGGGTATGGGGGGAGGGGGAGAACGCTAAAAGGAGGGAGGGAGAGAAAGCTAAAAGGGGGGAGGGGGAGAAAGCTAAAAGTGCGGAAGTTGAGCTTTATAACTTGAAATCCAAATGCAAATTAAGTAACGGATTTGTCTGAATTGAGCGAATTGCAGAGTTTAATGGCCAGGCTTAGGATTGTGTCAGTTACTATTTATAACTAAATTCAAGAAAGTAATGGTAAAAAGCAGCAAATTCATGTTTTTTCACGTGATATCTTTAAATTGGAAAATTAAAAATATAGGGTCACGAAAATTTCTAATCCCCATCAGGCATAAGCGGGTCTAAATTCGTATATATTTTCAAAATTTTCAGCTCAATAGCGTGCTTGGTTTGGAAATCAGCGCAGTTTGAATTTCAAAGATATGATGGCTGTGTGACTTACAGCTACGATAGGGTTTGTCGAAAAATATAGACCCATCTACTGATTTTTAGTCTTTATATGAAATTATCTGTTAGAAAAAGTGCTTTTGTACACGTTTGTTGGTTTAGTCTAGATAATCAGGGGGCTAGCTAGTTAAAGTAAGTTCCGGATGTTTTGCACTATTTCCGATCGCCATGATGGTGGACCAATAATATATCCACCAACACTGCGGCTCCATATTGGGTTCTGTAAATTTGTGCATAACATTTCGACGAATATCTTTAGTTTGGGAAAACAAAGAGACCTAAAACTTGGAAAAGTAGTTCCTTAACCAATCTCCGATAACATTGCAATTTCTGAACCTTATCCACTTTGGATGTGTTAGCGAGAGTACGAATACGCCCGCATTGCATGCTTACAGGTATGGCGCGTTTTTCCTATCAAAATTCAATTTGTCAGCCGTTTTTACATACGACCTTCGTTTTTCAATTTCAGCATTCCTTTTATTCAACCTTAATAATTGTTTTTCAATTT